AATGCAATAAACAATTCGCTTTAATTACTTTTTTTCCCTCCAGCTGGAGGATATTTTCCCGACGTGTAAAGACTGTTGAAATCGGCATGCCTGCCGCTATCGGCAAACCAAAGCCGGCGGCTCCTTTCGACGGAAGTCACGTGGCTCTCGTTGTGCTTCATTGCGTCACACTTTCCAAAAGTTAAGCACCTATAAACGCTTCGATGGTAGATAATATTATAATGTAACTACTGATATATGAACATAAAGTGGCGAGTTGACGGTGAAGGAGACTTTCAAGAGAGATAATCCGGCAGGGAATTACAGCGTCCATCGCCGAGGAAACAATTTTCCCTATACAGAATGGCGGACAGTGATCCGGAGAGATACGAGTCGACCATCCAAACTACACTCCTTGCCACGCTTCTCCTCGTCCTCGTATTTGGTAACTCTGTTATCTGTATGCTTGTTTGGAAGTACAAAAACTTGCGCACCTATGCTAATTTTCTCGTCGTCGAGATGGCGCTGGTCGATTTTTTCAACGGTGTCATTAACATTCCGATGTTTATTTGTTACCAGGTATATCCTTCTCCCTTTCTGACGGGTCGGACTCTGGCGATAGTTTGTCTGTTTTTACGAAGAGGTTTTCTACTTCAAAATGCGCTCTCAGTTTCTACTATATTTCTTGATCGTTATTTCGTTCTCGCGTACGGTCTGAAGTACACTTCATGGAAAAGCAGAAAAAAGCTTTTTATGATAATAGCTTTAAAATGGATGACAGGTATAGTAATAGTCGGGGGAATCATTCTGTTTCATACAGATTTTGAAGACATAGGTGACGCCCCAATTGCCAAGTACATTTCACAATACGAAGACAGGGGGATTTTGCCATTTCCAAGAATAATTTTACCAATGTTTCTGTTTTTTTTTTGTACTGTTTTATATCTGAGTTCGAGAGAAATTAAGAAAAACATTAACTTTAAGAAGGGCTTGAAAGGGTACGAAACAAAACGTTTTCAAGATCTGAAAGCGCTGAAAACAGTTCAGTATATTATCCTTTGCTACGCAGTTTGTTTTTTACCCGATATAACACGAAGTGTTTTACTGCTGACAACTTTTCAAGCGGTTGAGCATTGGCTTGTGTTTAGTGCGTTTTTCTTCCTGGTCCTAACAAGTGCAGTTAACGTTGTTATCTATTACATTCGGACGGAACGATTCCGCCGTGCTTTCATGCTATTTGTCACCAACCCTGTGAAGAAAAACGAGGTTTTTGAGCTGAAAACGTATGAAAGGGTTATTCCAAAGATTGTTCAAGAAGCGAAGATGATAGAAGAGCTAGAGATTCCAACGGATAGGTCAGCAGAAACTCCCGGCGCTCAGAACAAGGAGGAGTGTCCCACGACAACAGACTCTAAATCCAGAGAAACCGAAGAGTTTAGTATATTTGACGAAGATCTTCAGTGTTGGGACACTAAACTGTGATATTGCAAGAAAAAACTCTCTTTGCGAACTTAAATGGAACTGGTGGACATTTTAAGACAAAAGAAAAGCCCCTTTAACTTAAGCGGAAAATAACAATTAACATGCCCCTTTTTAAAATATTATCGAGTGAAAGAAGAAAGAAAAAGAAGTGGACGGTAAAAATGAGTTATTCACCCACATTGAAATCATAGAAAAACGTTTTGCAAATTAAAGCGAGGGGCGCTTTTAAAAAACTCTAACAGCAGACCACTACCTATTCGTGTTGTAAGATGTGTTATTTTCATTTCATTATACAATATCTGATGTTTGAGAAAAATACAATACCGAAAGTTTCACGAGAAATTCGAAGTTAAGAATCACTAATTAGTCAAATAATATATTGTTATTACAATTTCGTTAGGTTATCAGTCAATTTTGATTTATGTACATACGACATACGAGTAAAAAAAGCCGAGTGTATACTGGACATTGAAGCCTGTTCATTATTAAATGAAAACAACAGTCTTGAAACTACGATGTTAGTAGTCTCTCCTTTATTCTGATGGATGGAAATTTCAAAAAGAATTAAGCTTGTTTTTTTCTTCTTTAAAGTCGTTTAGGTCCTGAAGGAAAGATGATGAACACGAAGTGCAAAAACCTGTATGTTTCCAAAGGCGTTTCACAGTTGTTTTTGGCCATTTTTGTATCATCTGTTGCCATTGTTTAGTAAACACCGTTTAACGTGGTGGAATACTCTGAGTATTTCATTTACTTACACTTAGGATCAAGAAATTCAAAATTTTGTGACCATATCTGAAGAAAATCCTCTATGTCACTATTGCTCACAGAATACAAACAGTTACACAGATTCAGGAAACGAAAGGGAAATACTGGAAGGATAAAAAAATGAAAAGATAGAGATCAAATGGCAATCCGACACGAGCCTGCAGTGACATATGGCTTCTGTTTTGGCAAAAATATCTGTCATTGTTGTTTTTAGTTATCAACAGATCAGATGGA